CTCCCGGCTCCGCGTAGGGGCTGCGGCTGCGGCTTGTCCCGTGCATCTCCCCGTCACAAGCCCTGTCCGCTCCGGCTTCCCCAGCCCTGCCAGACCAAGCCACTGCAGGGCTGGGAGGTGGAACTCCCAGCTCCTCTTCCTGGTTTTCCTCTGTTGCATCGGACAGGTCCCTCTGGACTTTTAAAACGCAGCCAGTAGCTTTTATTTACCCAGCCTGGTCAAACCACGCTAAATCTGGGGACTGCTTTAAGTATTAGTACTGTTATTCGGTAATGAGCAATAAAGCACGTGAAGCATCCCGGGGCTGTAATGCCCAGATAACAGACCCTGAGCAAATCCCTGCCCAGCTCCCATCCACTTCCATGAAACCTGCTGCTAGGAACTAGTTGGGCTGGATTTTCATTTACTTGCTCAGCCCTCTATTCGGCTGTGAAGCTGGCAGATTACTCTTGGGTACATTTAACTGGTTTACTCCTCTTTTAAACCTCTTAAAATAATGTGAAACAGCTGTTGGGTAAACGAGAGCGAGGTCCCCTCTCTCCTTTTTTTTAATCAGCATGTCTTACAGCAGCACCAAACGTTCCCCACAGCAGTCTGGGAGCAACTGGAAGGCACAGTTATTTTTTTTTCCCCTACATGTATTTATTCTGCAAAGACTGCTTTGCTGTTCCAGCCGGACCATAAAAATCCCTTCCAGGCTTAGACTTGATTTACAAGGTCGCAACCTAGGAGCAAGTTATTTATTTATTTACATGCTGCTTATTTAACCCTGAATAAAGGCCACACACCAGCGCAGACCTGCTGCTTAGCAAACCATTCACTCACGTTCCCATGGACTTTGCTTTGCTGCTCGTCATCTGCTGGACCAAAGTGCAACCCTCTTTGGTGGGAAGGGCAGGAGGCATGGCATCTTCAAGAACAGAAGGAGACCTTATGGTGAATGAAAAACAGAAGGATTGTGGATGAGAATATTTGTCCAGGAGTGGTATCTGTAATTCCAATTTAAAAAAATAATAATATGAAACCAGGTTAGGACAGCGGAGCTTTGGGATAGAAATATTTTTTAAAATTTTCTACATCTAGCTGGAACACTTCAAGGAAGTACAAGCCCTGTGGTGCATCACCACACCAAAGCCTTCACAGCTGAGATGCTCAGATGGATTTTGTGAATGTGCATAGTCCATTTTAGCGCAAAATCAGCCAGATTAAAATCTGATAAAATCTTAAATACTTTTCCCAAGATGACACTGACAGTGGGAAGCAGTGCTGGGGGTGCCATGGAGCTGTTTTGCTTGCTATTCCTGGAGCACCATCCATCTGTCATCTGTTCAGATCCATTACTGCTATAGTATCCTTATACTGTTAATAAATACTGTAACCTAATCAAATGCCGGCTCTTTGCCTATCAAGTTCTCCTATCAGATCTCCAGCTGGAGATTCTCATCCCATTGTAAGCTTAAAGGTTGAAGAAGGAAGGGAAATTACCAGCAAGTATGCAATAAACCAGAAGACGCATAATCGTGCATTGCTTCCCAGTATCTTTGTTGGTTCAACAAGCGTCAATCTGGAATGCCAGATCAGAGCTGGAGCCAGAATGTCTTTGGGAAACAATGCATCTCCAAAGGAAAAAATAAGCAATTTTACGATTTCTGTACAGAACATCCCTCTGGCCCTTGCAGCACGGAGCAGCCAAATAATCACTGTAGGCTTAACTCCTTTCAGAGCATTACCTTTTGCAAATCTCCTTTAACTCAAAATTTCCTTGGTTTTTTTTGAATTTCAGACAGCTCCTTAACACAATTTTAATATAGGTCTTTGTCTGCATATTATTGAAAGATGTCAGGTCAAGAGAAGAGCTTCCAGAACTGAAATGGTTTGTTTCTACTTGCTTTCCAGATCACAGTTTTTAATGAGCAACTAATTTATTTCTTCCTTTGGAAATCATTAAAAAAAAAACCCCAAACTCTCAGTAGTTATTAGGACAGATCAGTCTTATATTGCATAGAGGATAATGGATAGAGCCGATGAAAATCAAAATATATTGCATTTGAGGAACCCTGTTGGCATGAGCTGTGAAGCTTCAACATTTCAGGGACTGAAGTGGGTTATCTAGGTATATTTTTAAACCCCGTCCTTTGAGATGCTTTGCACAGCTTCCTGCTTGTCCTCTTGCCTCTCTCCATGCAAAACAGATTGCAAGATGAGAGTCCTATTGCACGGGTATGCATCTACATACACGGCACTGCCCTGGGGAATGTCAGCAGCACCAGCAGTGGGGCAGGAGACTGGGAATGGGGCTGGGCACTGGGGCTAACCCCTTCCTTTGGTGTTGCAGTGGCTGGGGCAGCACTGGGCGCAGTGGATTTGCTGTTGCCAGCTCTGTGTCCTGGGGACAGGCAGGTGACTTGCTGCTGGAGCCCATCCCTGGATCTCCAGGGATGCTCTGAGCTTTGCGTACTGTGTCTTGGCACTCTTACATGGCCTTCGAAGTTGGTTGGAGAGGGAGGATGTTGGCAGAGAGGTGATGAACGTTTGAAGAAGGATGGTGGGGTTAGCAGATGAGAGTGAAGAGGCAATTTAAGCTTGTTGAAGACATAATCTCTTGATGTAGTTGGAGGAAGAAAAAATTGTCAGGGAGGGAGAGCAATAATTTAGATGAATACAAGGAGATTTAATGAGTGGTAATGTGATGAAAGGGAAAATTTGATATGAATATCTGAAAGAGCTCTTAGGACATCAAACCCATTAGGTTGCCAGGAGCAGCAGTGGATGTCTCATCACTGGGGCCTTTATAGTTAGGTTTGACAAAACTCTAATTCTCAGTGTTGAATCACATTGCATCATGTCTAAGATCTGGCTTTTTACAGCTCTTGCTTTTAGCTTTAACATGGCTTCTTACCATATCTCAGCAACTTGGGTCTTGACAAGTAACCAGTTTTCCCCATGCAAAGAAAAACAAACTGTCATCTTTGTTACTGGGTAACCAGTTGGATTTAAGGAAGCTTTACGGGAGAACTGAAGTGAAGGAGCAGTTTTTCTGTGGCTGTGAGGCTGGCATGGACAGAGCAGAAATCTCCTGTGGGCCAGCAGCCAGGATGAGCAGTTGCCTGCCAGGAGCAAGGGCTGACCATGCTGCCACTTATGACCCAGAAGGAACTTGTCTTCCTTGTCCAGCCTTGGTCCAGTTATGCCCTCATTGCAATCAAATTCAGGCACCATGATTATTAACATAATATCCTCTTAAAATATTAACTTTTGTTCTCTTAAGGCATTAGTCAAAGCTCACTGAAATGCCTGGAAGGCCTCCCGTTGACTTCCATGAGCTTTATGTTATTGTCATTCTTTCTCTGGAGAAAAAGATCTATGTAAAAGCAAATTAAAAATGCATTTGCTGTCCCTTTTTCTTCCTGCTGCGTTCCTAAATCCCTTTGTAAACTTAGCATATATCTGAGAAGCCATTTTGTGTTGGTTACCTGGACAATTTGACTAAAACCTTAACTGAAGGAAAGCAGATGAGAAACAACTCTGCAAGTCTTCATGTGAAGTGACCAGGCTTCACCCTCTCTGTGTTGTCCCAGGAAGAAACTGTCACTTGGCTCTATTCACATTGGACATTTGTTATTAGAGAAATAGAGACATGATGGAACATTGCCACAAGATCCATGTCTCTTGTTTTTAAAATAAACATCTTGGCTTTGACTTGACGTTTATTTTCCATAAATGCCTCGGCTTCAATTTGGCATTTCAGCAACAGCGGGAGGCTGTTATCCTGTGACAACATGCAATTCCATTGACATTATCTCTTGATTACATGTGACAGTGTGCCAAATACTGTATGCAGTTGCTTTTAGTTAAACAATGCCATGAAAATTTAAAACAAATGTATTAAATAACAGAAGTTACCATACTTTCCATCCCTATACTGTGCATGTGACACGATAATTACATGAGGTACGCTATAAAGCAGTGTGTGCTACGTTAGTAAGCACACTCTGAGTTTGACTTAGGGGGTCCAAAGTAGTGAATGCCTATTAATTCTCCTTGACTTGAGGCCTGTGGTTGATGTGTTCGTTAGCATGTACAGGACGAAGCATATCAACATTTTGAAAAGCTCTAGACCAATCTGAACACACACAAATAAGTCCTGATGCTCTGGAAGACCCTGCCACAGTAACCCAGCCCTTGTTTAGAGCACTTTTTCATCCGGAGACCCTCTTACAAGCATACCGATTCATTGATTCCCTCCAGGTGATAAAAGAGATGCAATGACTCTCTGTCTTTCTGTCTCTCTCTGTAAAAAGATGCTGAGGAACAGCCAAGCCAAGGCCTCCTTGTCTCTTGAAATCTGTGTTGTGTTGTTGCTAAAAAGTGAAACCTCAGGAAAACGCTGAGTTTGACCAGTGAGTTCAACTCCATTCAATCCGCCCAGAACAGACTGAGGACTCTTTTTTGCCTAGCGCCCTTTAGAAGTGCCCAGATTTTGAAGATCCCCTGATTTCCTCCATAGGATTGAGGCCAAGTCTCTATTTTTCCTGTATTTCATGAAAATTGTGATGCATTTTGTAATCCTACTCACAATTTTAAAGAAATGTAGGGCCCTGGACTGAGGTTTCATTAGGGAAGTGAAGGAAAGGGCTGTTATGACTCTGGAAATGTCTCCCTTTCAGAAGGTGGGCTTAGTCTTGTACATGAAGAAGAAGTTTGGACTGGGAGTAAAACTTCTGGCTCATGCCAGGTATATTTATTTGTCATACAGAAGCCTAATACAAAAGGAGTTGCACCGATTTATGCTAGTTGAAGAGCTGGCTCTTTGTCTATCTAGCTGATAGTTTTTGACATTCCCTCCCCAAGCCTTATTCCGTATATCTCAGAGAAGGTCTGCAGTTTAACTTTGAGGTATCTCACCCAGGAGAAATTCTTATTTCGCGTTTCTCAGTGACACTTTGCCATCTGCATGATCTAGACTTGCTGTTGCTGACTGGGCCCCTGACTGATATCCCGGTTCATAGAGTGCTTTTACCATTGTGTTACCATTCACCCTGCAGGAATGAATTCTCCTTGAGCAAAAGTAATGTTCAAACTTTGCAAAGAACAAGCCAGGTTTGGTGTTTCTGGAAGCAGAATATTCTTTTTGCTATTGATGAATTTTCGTAAAGTTAATACCCATAGTTATTTGACAGAAGCATTTTATTTACGGTCTGGACTAATATTAATCTGGAGCAATAATAATGCGCTCATTAATCCAGATTATAACTGAGTTGCCTTTAATTGCTCAATTTGCAAAGTCTCACTGTCTGCATCTCCCTATACTTGCTTGACATCCAGTCTCCTCGACAGAGACACTGGCACTGTGAGAAAAGCCTGACTAGGGCTGCCTCTTTTTTAAGCATCAGCGATTCCTTTGAGAGGGGTGGTGAAACATTTTACAGCAGGCCAAAAAACACTGCGGTGGCCAGAGCCTTTGTTTATACAGAGAGATTGTGGTTGGAGACCAGAGCAGAAGAGTGATGACTAGGAGTCCTCTGAGATTTTACTCTAGTCTATTCCTGCTTCAACGCATACTGGCTGCAAGAAGTTGCTTTACTTCTCCATCCCAAAGCTTACCTATCTGTAGGATGAAAGTTGCACACTTTGGGAAATATCATCTCACATTTTAATTGGAAGAAAAAGCTAATCCTTTACAGGCACCTCCTGAGGTGTGGATGTGAGGTGCAGTGAAAAGGCACAGTGACAGTGTTTTGGTGTCAAGCAACCTCCTGGTTAGTGAAGTGTGTAAGTCAAGAAACCATTTCTTTCCCCTTCACATCATGGAGAACTATAGCACCTAAGCTAGTGGCTGCAACATGCAAAAAGACTAATTCAGATGGCTTAGGGTGGAACCAGCATTTTCAGATGTTTGGGAAATCTGTA